TGGCCAATCCCACCATAGATGGGCTTCTCCTTGTGGCAGAAATGCAACTAGTCTTATCTTAGTGGCATCGGAGGTGATCTCCATAGTCTCTAAGATCTTGTTGACTTGTTGGAACCAGTGGTCGGCCATAATCGGATTCGCCCCTCCCATGAAAGTCAGAGGCTTGTGTGCCTTAAACTTTTGGAGGTTAGATGAGCCTCCTTGGTCGACATTAGCACTAGCTTGTGCAATGGTAGCCGCCATAATACCAATAGCCTTCATGAAAACTTGTTGGTCAAAGGCCGGCAGTGGTTGGTTATTGTTCCGCCCATCGCCTTGGCCGCATCCTCTTCCTCTAATTCCCATCTACACACATGTCAAATAACAACAGAGCATTTACTTAATATCCCATAGAAGGGATTAAAGTTGAACATTTGTGATTTCTCTCATTATCTCACTAGTAGAGTGTGTGTCACCATTAGTAGACATTTACACCCTGAACCATCTCAATCATTCTTTTTTCGACCCTCAAGGTTATGTTCTCTAACTCTAGTGTCTCTTATCCAAATACATTTAACCATGCATAATCTTCACAGAACACATAACGTATAACATGTAGCATATTAAAACACGTAACATGAAATGCATAATGAATGTAATGGTCTAGACACATGCCCACCAAACCCTAGGTAAATCATATACCTAAGCTCTGATACCAATTTGTGATGCCTCTAAAATCAGGGGTCCTTTGTCAACTGTTGACCACTCGTCAACCAATGGAAGTACTCGTGACTATCACACTGCCCGACATCACATCACATCAACACCAACCCCTCACCCAGGATTGCACCCACACATCTGTGGTTCCCTTACACATCAATTTATTGTCTTTCATGTCTCATAAAACACCTTTGATCAAGAGAAGACAATGCCTAAGAGCTCAAAGAAATAGTTCAAAAATTTTAAGTTTTGAGAAAACCTTCTAGAAGGTGTTCCTAAACATTTCGGAAGGTTAAGATCTCTGGATTTCAAGTTTTAGAAAAATGGTAAAGACCTTTCAAAAGGTTCTCACAAACCTTCCGGAAGGTTTAGGGCACTAGAATTCTAATTCTTTGAGAAAGAGTGTTGACCTTTCAGTAGGTTTTCAAATCTTTCAGAAGGTTTTGCCCAGATTTGCCCTTTTTACCTGTTTTTGATTTCCAACATCATCCAACCCATTCCACAAACATCAATTGCATGTTTAATGAAGTTCTTCATATAAAACATGTTTCATACAAGTTCAACCACAATCATTTCATACATTTACATGTCCAAAATCAAATTTTCATAAAAGTTTTATAAAATGAGCCATAAAAGTCACAAATCGACTTTTTTCATCCTTGAGGCTCGAAATGGGAGCCGTCCGCCGGTGTGAACCCCGCACCTGAAATATTTTTCCACGAAGGGTGAGCTATGCTCAATAGGGCATCTCCTAAAGAGGCTACTCCTCAACCTAAATGCATATGAAATGTTCACATGCAACAATTCAACAATCCTTCACATCCTAAGCAAGAATATACATTCCATGTTAGAATTTACCATGTCATGCCATGAAATGAGATGAGACTCACTCACGCACATCAACCCGAGCCCTCACCGGCTCCCATAACACATATTATGTCAATGTGTATCAATCCGTCACTTATGTGGCAAATCAAATGATAATTATAAATCTAGGGTTTTTGTTGGGTTGGGTATTTATGGACTTATACCAAGGGTAACCCAACCCACATGGAATTTATGGACTGAACCAAGGGAGTGCATATCCCAATCGCCGGGTCTTGCACCCGAGGGATCTTCTAACCTTTCTTACTAACTTTGACCCTATTTATCATGCAAATCGTGCGACTCAGCCAGGTCTTCGACCCAACTTTTCCAAGCCCACCCGTCATCCACTAAATGTGGTGTTGACAATAACCATGCACACACACTCACATAAGGCGATGTCCCTGTGCATATGTAATGTGATGCACCATTGCAGCAAAAATATTTTGTCCAACATGCCATGAATATCATATGAACTATTTCAACACGTTCCGTGACAAATTATGTCAAAACATATAATTTCCATAATCCATCAATGTCAATATATCACAAGTATGTATATATCAACATTTCATACATCACAACTTTCAAGCATGTTATCATAAAATCATGCTATCAACACACTAAATTCATTAAGGCATAATGTAAACACATAACATGCCCACAAATCACATAACTCAAGAATCACATTAGGTAAATCTCATCTACCCAATTTGAGATGAAATTTATTCTACCTATTTTCCATACTCATTTCACCAAATTCATCACAATAGGCAAGTGTTAAAATTATCTAACCACCTACTAATTCTATATAAATATTCTAGGTTGAAAATAAACCTAATTAGGATGAAACCCTACCTCTTGAAGCATAAACTCACTTTGTAGAAGCCTTCAAGAATCCCAATCAAGCTCAAACCCTGGACTTCTTCAAGCCTCATTTTTGGAGCTTCGGTGAAATCTTCGATTTTTGGTATGGTCTTATAGCCCATGTCGAGGAGAAAAACTTTTGTTCTTGGTCCGGGGTGATTTAACCAAAGTTTGACACTTGATCGCAAGAGAAAAGTTTGAGAAAACTCTTATTCTTCTCTCTTCTTTTCTCTCTCTTTTACAACATAAAGACCCAGAAGAACAATGGGGAGAAATTAGATTTTCTCCCCCTATTTATAATCTTTAAATGTTTGGCCCACAACGCTCCACACGTCCTCCTTTTGCAGGGTCCGTTTTCGCCCCCAAAATGATTAAATTTTGTCCTGGTTCAAATTTAAAATATTTTTATTTTAATTAGATTTAATTTTGATCCCAATTTTTGAATTGTATTCCCGGATTCATTTATGAGGTCACCTAACATCGAGTTACCTCGTAAAACGCAAAAAGTTCAACTATCTCAGAATTCAACGAAAATCGACAGGGTAGCTAGATTTTGCGAGACGAATCCAACGGTGAGGTCCGTTTCGTCATCCAAGTTCTAAAAAAATTTGAATTTTTAAAGCGTACCATGGTGACAAATTTATCATTTTGTCTTTCTTTATAAAAAATTCAAATTTATCCAAGTTTTACATCACTATTTGATGAATTAAAGTGACAAGCATTATATGCACATGACAATTAAATATTTTGGGGTTAAGAGCATAAGCAATATGAGGTATTTATTATTATATTAAATCAACAAAAGATAATAATCTCAACATGGGTCTGTTCAATACACAAAGTGTACTAGTGCAATAATTCAAGATAACAAACAGTCTCCTACAGTCAAGACAGATTATGCTAAAATATTACACTACAATCATACCAATGGGGTGTCCAATTCCATCTAGCATTGTGAACACATACTCATATAATACAAGGATCTGATAATCTGATTTTTTATGTATAAGTCGAATTCTACACACCAGATTATCTATAATGTAAAATATAAGACGCATATGCATACCATATATTAAATATAATGCAAATATTTTGCCCATATAGATTCTCAATAAAATGGAAAGAATAAATTTTTATTAATTAATAAAATGAGTTTCATTACAAAAAGTAAGCTTTTAGTATACTACTTTATCAATTATTTTCTGATGATTGTATTTTTTTTCTCTGCATCAACTAGAGTAGATTGTCAAATCCTAATGGACATCCTAAGTAGATACTGCTATCCTATTGGCCAACTGATCAAGTTTGCCATTTCCTTTAGTCGTAAGAGTCCATTGTCTACTTAGTAATAGCTTGCTCAGTTCCTTAGAATCCCAATAGAACACAAAGCAGGGAAATATCTGGGGCTACCTCTGAAATGGGGAAGATCTAAAAAGCAAACTCTAGCCTGGATCAAGGAAAGAATACTCTCCAAAATGGCAGGATGGAAGGAGAGGTTTTTAAACCAAGCAAGGAAGGAAACACTAAGTAAGGCAGTAGTGCAAGCTATACCATCGTACGCCGAGATAATATTCAAATTTCCCAAAGCCTTTTGGCAAGACATCACTACCAACATAAGAAGATTTTGGTGGAGTAAAACATTAGGGGAAAGAGGTATTTGTTGGAAAAGCTGTAACCAACTACCTAGAAAACTTTAACAAAGCTTTGTTAACAAAATAGTTTTGGAGACCTTTGAAGGCTCTATAATCCCTTTGGGTTAAAGTTTTGCAAGCAAAATACTGTCATGGAAAATCTATATGGGAGGTGAATGCTAAACCACCAAACTCTTGGATTTGGAAGAGTTTCTTGGAGGGTAGAGATGTGTAGTCTAAAGGTTGCATTTGGAAAATAGGTAATGGCAACCAAATTAAATGATGGGAGGATCCTTGGGTACCAAGGCACCCACGGAAACCCAATGTTAGCCAAATCAACATCTCAAGTATGCAAGAACTATTCAATAGCCACAAAAAAGATGGAATTCAGACCTCATTCACAATGTTTTTGCTCCAAAAGTATCCAAGGATATTATGTCCATACCATTGGGTGAAACTCAACAGCAAGATGAACACAAATGGGCACACACACAGAAGGTCAGGTTTTTATTCACTAAAAAGTGGATATTATTTGCTATAGCAAATGTTAGTGACCAATCAATCAAGTACAGCTACGTGCTTTTCTTTTCAAGCCTCGAATGGCCTTTGGAAGTGCATTCAAAGGTTCAATCTTCCATGTGTAAGCTAGCTAATGGAATCCCTACCAACCAAATGGACCATCCAGAAGAAAAAACTCACACAAAAGCCCATGTGCCCAATATGTGGGGAGGAGGAAGAAACAATTGAGCATCTCTTTCTATTATGCGCTTAGGTCTCCTTTGCATGGCAGCACTCCTCTCTTAGCATAGTTACAGATAGGTATGAAATTACAAGAATGGAAGTTTGGTTGGTGGAACAACTAGGACAATTGGCAAAGGCAAGAACTATGAAGATGCTAAGTCAACCTTGTTAGCACACTTATGCTGATCTGTTTGGAAGGTTCGCAACAATTGGGTGTACCAAAATCAGCACCCTAACAGCAAGGGCGTTATTAATCAAGCATTGTTAGCCACTTCAGAATTCCAGCAAATTGATGCTGAACCAGCTACCCAGACAGAGTCACAGCATATGAACACTACATGGTCTCCCCCTCTAGTGGGATTCACAAAAATAAATTGCGAGGCATCTTTTTTGGCTAAAACTAGAATAAGAGCCTATGCTACTTTGGTACGCAACTGTGAGAATCGACTGATGAATGGTGCTTCTGCCAGCATCATAGTACCTTCTCCATTAGCGGCAAACGCTAGCATAATAATGAGGGCCTATAGGATGGCTTTGGAGGAAGCTTATAACTTGGTGATAATTGAATCGGATTCAAAAGAGCTTATTAAGTTTCTTGTGCAGGGACCAACAACAATCATAAGGGAGATCAAATTTATTCAATTAGATATCTGGGCCTATGCAAACCAGCTGCCTGCTATCAAATACAGCTATGCAAAGAGGGAGTGCAACACAACAACCCACGTAGTAGCAAAGTAAACTAGTCAAGAAAACATACCTGCACAATGGATAGCCTACCCTCTAGCTTAACTGATGGAAATCATCCACAGGGAGGTAAGAGTAGGAATGGGATGAATTTACTTTTTACGTCATCATAATGTACGTTTTTTTTTTCCATAAACACAGATCACCAGACATATACACTAAAAAAAATGACATCTTCACTACAGTACCAAATTTGCCCTTAAAAATTCACTACCATCTGAAGATATCGTCTCATTCACGGAACACAATGAATCTACAATGCTTCCATCGCTCGCTTGACTCGACTGAACATTATTATGCAATACATATACATTAATAATTTTGAATTTTACAACGACTGAGACAATTTCATATGTCTAAAATCTTTATTAGATTCAACCAAACCTCTGCGGTTATTATCTATAAAGTACCTTACGCTAAAAATAGAGCCCTTTAAATTTTCAAATCTCTCATTACACATATCCTTTACTACAATTGTTGATAGCAACAACAAAAGTGACTGAATCAAACGTACACCTCAAAATCACAATTCCTTTCATCCCTAAAAAACCGAAGAAGTGTTCAAACCGTCAAAACACATACAAATGGACAGCATGTAACTAAAATTTAAGATAAGAGTTGTGTATCCATTCTCAACAAAACTAAAAAATTGAATGGGAAAGGTAATTACACTCACAAACATTCATGATTACACGAAAAAAATGCATTAACAAACACAATAGGTACATAATTAATATGTACTTGTTTACATAGGTACACAATATATTATATACGACGAACAATATACACAATCATTCGGGTACATTATACTAATATATACATCTACGAGATAAGTACATCAGGATTTAATTAAGAAGAAGATGCGTATACCCCATTACAGGTACACAACTACATAAAACCAAACACAATTAAAAATTATGTAAGTCATAATGAACATAAACCTAAACCTACCAACGAATACGTAAAACTTAACTACTGCAATCTAATTTGTGTATTTACCAAATCAACGCTTAAGATAAATGATTGGTATATTTTAAATTGATTGGTTCACGAATTTGAAATTTAAAACTGATAAACAATACCACACAATCCTCAATATCAAACGCCAAAAAAGGCAACTATATCATGTGATAATGGCAAAATGGATAATGAAAACACACTAACTGTCCAACCCTTTCACGTTCACGCCTAAACAGGGACCCCATGTAATTTTTTAAAAAACACGGAAGATTTTTTTATATATTAAAAATTCGATATGACAAAAATTAGTTTAAACATCAAAGAAGAAATCATAACCTAATTATCTAAATATTGTTCCAGCACGAATTGGCACAAACATGGTAATGAACTCGAACTCAACTTTTAAATAACTCGAAATATAATCAAGAGTCAATAAATTATTTACATATTTATAATGAAAAGTGAACCCTCCGTGATAGTTCTTGGATTTGAAAAGTCAACCCACCATGACAATAACTTCCCGATAAGCCTATATGATTTGAAGTTCATCATAATTCAAACCTACACTTTTCCTCTTAATTAAACTAGATGTAAACCACCACCTATAGTTTAGTTACGTTGCGCTCTTTACCCAGAACGGATCGATTTTCGATTGGATTTAGATTGATTCGAATTCAATTTTAAAAGGTGGATTTGATAATTCAATTAATTTTATTTTTTTGATCTATATCTGAATTCGTTCACAAATTTGAATAACTTACTTAACTAAATTTTAACTAATTTTTTAAATAATCACATAATTTTTTTAATATTTATGTAAAATGGTATAAATAATTTTGATTAGATCAGATATAGGCATATCTAAATCCAAATTCTTGAATATATAAAATATCGGATTCGAATTATTGATAAAAAATATTAATCTATATTCAGATAATCCAGTTCGAATCAGATTCTAATTCATTGACCGGACTACCTAGAGGTGAACGTGGACCATGTCACATATATGCTCTCAGATTTAAAATCAGGCGAAGCTTCAGTCAACAATAAGGATAATCCGGATTTGGGCCGAATCCAGGAACAGATCCATGAACACAAAGTAATAATCCCGATTGGATCAATTCTTGACCAAATTTACTGATTAGAAAGTCAAGCCTATTGATTCACATATGTCTAATTTTGGCAAGTGGTTATGGTCAAAGGAAGTTTTATAAATAACTTCAAATTTTCAAACCTCCAACCCCAGATTTATATCTCAATCTAGGGACTCTTGAAAAAAGAATGTAACGTAGCCGTAACACAATCGTAAAGAAATCACGTTCACTTACGAAATCACAAATACACACAATTTTCAAATGCACGAGAAAAATACTATTAATAACTGAAAATAGCTGCCCAAAATATTAGGGTCTGATATAATATATCAAAAGCCTAATCGTTAAATCGTTAAATAGAGTGATGAAAAATAAGATTAATTTTTTTTGTGTTTGATAAAAAGGAAAAAGTATTTTTTTATTTTTTATTGAAAAAAGTATATATACATATTTTACCATTTTGTCTATATATGAAATTAATATATATAAATATATATAATATAATACAATTGATAATTATGATATATGTATATATCAAATGATATATAGACAAATAACATACATTTTGACACACATAATTAACTTTTCATCCACTTTTTCTCTAAATTTTGGAGGGATTAATTTGGATGAGTTGGAAGGAAAACTTGTTCATTCACATTTTTATCCTTCATATTTTTCTTCCTTACCAAACATAATATTTTATTTATCACTTAAATTTTTTCATTATTCCAACTTTTTATCCTTCCATTTTTTTATAGTACCAATTGAAGCATAAGAATTTTTCGTCAATATATATATATATATATATATAAAATAATAGTGGAGAAAACTTCCAACTTATCATTCAACTTTTTTGATTTATTGGTTTGTGGATTGAGGTTTGGTGAACTTTTGTCATTTGATTGGAGACACCTTTTTTTGGAAGAAAGAAATCTTGCCATAGAACTCATGGTTAAGCGTAAGTAGAAAATGGTGGAGTTTAGGACTTTTAGATTGAGTGGCTTATGATGGAACTGAAGTTCATAACTTTAATGGTTTTATTGCTTAGATGATTTTTGACTTCTCTTTTAAATATAACTTACATGAATGTAATTTGTTGTTAAATCAAGGTCATTTTTATTACAGATGTGTGGATCGAGGAAAAATAAATATGCATTCAAATCTATCCCGTTTGGATCAAGAGTAAACCATACATATTAAAAGATAGATGTATATAGGAATACTCGTATAAACCCATGCAAAGATGGAGACGGAGATGGACTAAAACTCCTCCTCACCCTACCATTTCCCATCCCGCTAAACTCATAATATATATATATATCCCACCCACTCTTCTCTCTATGCCAAAAAAAAACACTTCACTTTCTCTCTCTCTCTTTTTGATCCATTTTTTTATATTATGAATTTTTAACTTTCTTGTAAATTTATTTGTGAGGTTTTATATTTTTTTTTTTGGTCAATTTTTTTTCTTAAAATCATAGAAATTAATTGTTATGGGTGGAGATAAGGATAGGGAGACGGATCAAAATTTATCTGCGGCGCAAAGACGTGAATTAAAATTTCTTTCACTAACGGGGGTAAACGAATATTTTTGAAGTGGGTACGGAGGTAGAAACTACTCTCCCGCCTCCACCGCAGTCCACTGTCATCCCTAATTGTTATTGAGATGCAAGATGTTATTATTTTTTACCCGGCTCCCCTTTTCTCAATGTTTTGTTTTCCTACCATTTGTTTAATGCATTCATTTTTTTCTTTATTTTTGTAGGTTGCTTCTAATTAGCCCACACACGCCATCATGAAATTCACTGGTAATTCAATCTGAGTAGACGTCAAAGAAGAATGGGTTGATGTGGTTTTGATTTTTTATATTCAATTTGAATTTGTTTTCTTATATAGATTTGATTTTTTTTTATTGTTATTTAGACTTGATTATCTATTAAGTTGAAGTTATGTTCTAATCGCCACGTGGTGTAACAATGCAATTTGAGGCCTTCAATGAATTTTTCCTGACATGTTTCTCATGCATAAGTTATCTAACCTTTTCATATATGAAATATACGTGTTCTTATTAAACTTTCTCACGTATCCGCTCTCTCTCTAGATCCCATGACAAATGATTCATAATACTGAAAAAATACTTCTATATTATTTTCATATCATATAGATTGTCATTAATACTCTATTTAAGCATGGGGGTTAGTTATAATTGACAATGAACTATTTTTTTTTAAAAATAGTGGGTACATATTTATTGGTGATTTTTTCGTATTATAATGTGTTTTTAGGCTTAGGTAATTTATTTGTAATTTTTTTATTAGTTATATAGTGCATTTAGATACTAATAATTACTAGTATTTCAAATCCTCTAAAATATAAAAATTAATTTTTATTTTTCACGATTCAAATTAATTCTGAGACAATAAAAAATAATCCGACGGTTAGAAATTACACCCGAAAATCCGAGTTCCCGCCCAAAAAATTGGCATCCAGAACTTTCCCTGGGAATGGAAAAATCTACCATTTTCACGCACGCTGTTTGAAATAAATAATCGAGAAGTTCAATGGGGCCCACCGCAACTTTGAAATGAGGAGTCTAATCCACGACGGTGCTTGACCTTGACCAGTGGTTACCACGTCAATGCAATGGAAACGAACGGCGTTGATTTGTTTACCTTAGCGATGTTTATGTTGATTATCCGTAATATTATGCTTACTAAAATTAAATTTTTTTATTTCAAATGATATGATATAATATTTATTATTAAATATTAATAGAACCTACTTATTTAATGTTAAAAACTACACCACATCACTTATGATGAAAAATTTTATAAGAAATCTTAGTCAGCATTGCATTATTATTACATTATCTTAAATATGATTTAAGAGTTTGAATCTTTATTCCCATATAATGTTTTTGTCCATTTTTATTATATCATT